TACGACTACTACTACTACTACTACTACTACTACTACTACTCTACTACTACTACTTACTACTACTACAACTACTACTACTACTACTACTACTACTACTACTACTACTACTACTACTACTACTACTACTACTCCTACTACTACTACTACGACTAACACTACAACTACTACTACTACACTACTACTACTACTACTACTACTACTACTACTACGACTACTACTACTACTACTACTACTACTACTACTACTACTACTACTACTACTACTACTACTAAAGACTACTACTAGTACTACTACTACTACGACTACTACCACTACTACTACTACTACTACTACTGCTACTACTACTACTACTACTACTACTACTACTACTACTACTACTACTACTACTACTACTACGACTACTACGACTACTACGACTACCACTACTACTTTTACCACGACTACGATCCATCAAAAGACGCGCGAGATCCCAACCGCAATAGCTCACGCGTAAATCTGCTCCTGTAAGGTGTCCACCGCAGTTTCAGATAGCAATGAACAAGCATGGTAACATTTCAATATGTTTTCTTTATTCGCTTCCTCCTCGGTTGGGATCTGACCGTGCCTGGTGTTTTAGACGGTTGGGATCTGAACCGTCCGGTTGTGATCTCACGCGACTGGTTGTGATCTGAACCCATCGCCCCCTGGCGGCGCCGCCCCTGGCGCGCTCCGCGCGCCAGGGAGGGGGGTCGGGCGCGGATCCAAGAAATCCGCGCGGGGCGCCGAAAGTTGATGTGCATGTGTTGTTGTTCGTCTTCTATCTTGGGCCGTCTGACGGGGTCTGTGGTCGTCTTGGGTTTTGGGGGTGCGGCTTCAAAACCTCCTGGGCGCCTCTCGTGGCAATCCTGGTGGAATCTTGGGCCGTCTTGGGGCGTCGGGACGCCGAAGAGGCGAGAAAGCCAGAATCTTGCAGAAACCTTATCATTGATTTTTGGCTGTTGGGGCCCTCTTGGCGTGCTCTTGGAGGCCTCTTCGAGCGTCTTGGCAGCCTCGTTGGCCGTCAGGAGGCCATGCCTGACGTCTTGGACCCATCTTCCGGCGATTCGGCGCATTTTCGTTTTGGCTGGCGAGCGCGAGAAGGAGAGCTCGGGGAAAGGAGGGTGAAAGCTGCGACGGGCGCAGGAGAATTCTGGAGAATTCTGTGACGGGCTTATTAGGAAAGGAGAGGACAGCGGCGACGGCGGCGGCGGCGACGACGACGACAAGAACGGAGCAAACGCAGCGCCTCACACACGCCGACAGGGTCGGGGAGCAGAAAAGGCATGAAAATATATTTTCGGAGGTCCCCGCGGAATTCTCGGATCAGCGCTGAAGCCCCCTGGCGGCGCCTCCAGCGCCGGATGGGGGCCCAGCGCCGATCCAAGAAGTCCGTGCGGACCTCCACAAGTGTTTGCTCATGCCGTTATTCCCAGACATGCGATGTCCTGAGTCTTGTTCGATACGGCGTCCCCAGAAGTCCCGACCTTGCCCCCAGACTGGTGTTTCATCCGGAGTCGGTTTGCCGCGGTCCTAGTGCCAGACGAGGGCTTCTGGAGGCCAAGAGCGTAGAAAAATGTCCGCACAGGCTTTCAATACGTCGGATCTCTGGCGTCTCGTAGCTCATGCGGGAGGCCTCCACAGGAGCGACGACAGAAGATGTGTGTCCCCCCAGCAGGGGCGCCTTCGTTTCCACTGCGGCGTGCCACGCCGGCGGCCCGCGTAAGCCACTGCGCAAGGTCGCCATGTCATCTCGCGTAGGGGCCATCTCGTTCCGTCGCTCATTTGTTGCTCCTTTATTTTCTTGGCATCGCTCGGACCTGTGCATTTTTTTCTCGCGAGGGCCACCGGGCAGCATCTTGGATCACACGGCGCAATAGAGGCGCACGAAACCGAGAAACGCATTGGGAAGGGGTGTCCGAGCGATTGCAAGTTTCAGTCCCCCATCAGAAGCGGCATCATCATGCGCCTGCCCAGCGCGCTGCCCCAGGCGGCCCGTGCAAGCCACCGCGCGAGGTCGCCATGTCATCTCGCAGAAGACCCGTTTCTTTCCGTCGCTCGTTGTTTGCTCTTCGTCATGGACACGCCAATGGCCCGCTGCCCCCCCTCCAGACCGAAGGGGAGGGGGGAGGGGAGGGGTAAACACCAGGGGGTATGGAAGAGGAAACTCGCCAAACCACTGACGCCCGAAAGGGCTGGTGGGATATTCATCCCCCCCGCAGGGGCGGCATCGTCATGCACCTGCCCAGCGCGCTGCCACAGGCGCCAGCCCCCGCGGCCTCTTTGATCCCCTCTCTCTCACTCTCTCTCTCTCTCTCTCTTTTTCTCCCATCGCTGCCCCCCGCCTCACTACCCTCCTCCTCATCATCCTCCTCCACCTCCTCCTCCTCATCCTCCGCCTACTCCTACTCCTACTCCTACTACTCCTACTGCTCCTACTCCTACTCCTAATCATACTCCTAATCCCCCTCCTCTTCCTCCTCCTACTCCTCCGCCTCCTCCTCCTAATCCTGCTCCTCCTCCTCCTTCTCCTTCCCCTCCGCCTCTTCCTCCTCCTGCTCCTGCTCCTGCTCCTCCTCCTCCTCCTCCTGCTCCTCCTCCTCCTCCGCCTCTTCCTCCTCTTCCTCCTCTTCCTCCTTCTCCTCCTCCTCCTAATCCTACTCCTTCTTCTCCTCCTCCACCTCCTCCTCCTCCTCCTCCTCCTCCTCCTCCTCCATTCCTTCTCCTTATAGATAATTCCTCCCTGTCGCACCCCGAGGCAAGTTTTTTGGGCGGGCCGGGCGTTTCGCCTGAGACTCCCTCACCATGTATGGTTAACAAGTGACAAGAGCTTCACAGATGGAGGGCGGGTGGCTTTCAAAATGTGGCTCTCGCCTTAGCGCAGCGCACATTCGTTGTACAGAATTGTAAGGGTTTCACGGTTTGAGGGCGGGTCGTTTTCAAAGTGTGGTTCTCGCTTCAGTGCCGCGCACATTCGTTCTATAAATTTGCAAGAGTGTCACGGATTGAAGGCGGGTGGTTTTCAAAATGTGGTTTTCGCCATACCGCCGCGCACATTTGAAAAAAAAACCATGCAAGAGCTTCACGGATTCAGGGCGGGTTGTCTTCAACATGTGGTTCTCGCTTTAGCGCCGCGCACATTCGTTTAAGAAACCGCAGCGCCGCGCACATTCGTAATAGAAATGTGCAAGAGCTTCACACATTGAGGGCGGTTTTCTTGTTCAAAATATGGCTCTCGCCTTAGCGCCGCGCACACTGTTTTAATATGATTTGCAAGAGTTTCACGGATTCCCATGATCACCGTAATTACCACACATGGTGTTTTGGACGGGTTCAGGATTTTGCGGGCGCAACAGTTATGTTGATCCGCTGTGTTGGAGTCCCAAAATCATGGCGTTATGGCGTGATTGTGGATCGTCAAGACGCAGCAGTCAGGTTGATACGTGGCGTTGAAATGCCGAGAACAATGTCTTGGCACTCTTCATGATCTTCAAGTTGTTGTCTTCCAGCGAGACAGTTCCCTCAATGGAAATGAATCGTTGGAGGGGCCTATGGAGGTGGAGCTTGGAAGGAGGGTTCATTCCAACATCGTTGATGACTCTTGGGTTTCCACTGGCCCTCCTCCTCCGCCCTCCGCCCTCCCTCCCTCCTTCCTCCTCCCTCCTTCCTCCTCCCTCCTCCTCCCGCCTCCCGCCTCCTCCCGCCTCCTCCCGCCTCCTCCCGCCTCCTGCTCCTCCTCATCCTTCTCCTTGTCCTCCTCCTCCTCCTCCTCCATCCCTTCTCCTTATAAATAATTGTTCCCTGTCGCACCCCGAGGCCAGTTTTAAGGGCGGGCCGGGTTTTTCACCTGAGACTTCTGCACCACCCCTGATTATGAAGCTTAAAAATTAGCAACAGCTTGACAGCTGGAGGGTGGGTCGTTTTCAAAATGTGGCTCTCGCCCCAGCGCCGCGCACATTCGGCCTAAAAAGTTCAAGGGTTTCACGGATTGCGGATCACCCGTTTTCAAAGTGTGGTTCTCGCCTTAGCGCCGCGCACATTCGTTTTTTTTTTTGAAATAGCACGAGGTTCACGGATTGAGGATCACTCATTTTCAAAATGTGGTTCTCGCCATAGCGCCGCGCACATTCGTCCTATACATTTGCAAGGGTGTCACGGTTTGAGGGCGGCTCTTTTTCAAAATGTGGTTCTCGCCTTGGGCCGCGCACATTGTTTCATATACTTTGCCAGAGTTGCACGGGTTCCCACGATCAACGTACCAGACATGGTGTTTTGGAAGGACTCAGGAGCTTGCGGGTGCAACAGTTACGTTAGTTCGCGGCGCTGAAATCCCAAGAATGGCCTTCTGGCACGCTCCACGATCGCCAAGACGCAACAGTCAGGTTGATATGTGGCGTTGGAATCCCGAGAACCATGCTATGTGTTGGCATGCATCCGGGTCTTCAGACGGATGTCATCCAACGAGGCAGGGGCTTATGAAGAGGGAACTTGGAGGGAGGGTGTATTCCAACATCGTTGATGGCTCTTGGGTTTACAGTGGTTGTCCTCCTCCTCCTCCTCCTCCTCCTCCTCCTCCTCCGCCTCCTCCTCCTCCATTTCCTCATCCTCCTCCTCCTCCTACCTCCCCCTCCCTCCTGGCTCAAGTCCTGATCACACCGCTGGAGGTGCAGGACGACAGCATTGCCGTCCAGGGAAGGCCCTGGGCGCTGGGCCTCGAGCAAGCCCCCCGCGGCCTTTTCGGCACCACGATCATGAAGTCTGCTTTCGCTCCCTTTGTGCGCGCCCGCGAGGCGCAGGGATCACAAGTCGCGATGGCCAAGCAGCACAAGTTCATCACGTGCAATCGCCGCTGCTGCAAGAGCTGGGCTTGGTGTTCTACTGGTGCTAGGCATTGTGCTCAATGCGGTGGCCGTTTCAAGCAGCAGCATGACCAGTGTGGAGGCACCCGCGGCAGTGCCGCCAGCAACCTCGGTGCCGCGGGCGAGGCAGGACCAGGTCTCCAGCCTACGTCTGAGCCGCACCGTGACAAGCTTGGCCGCTGGCGTGGACGTGACCGCTCTCGTGGGCCCAGTCACCCTCCAGGTCTCCGACGGCCAGGCGCAGTCTCTTTCGCGGGAGGAGATAAACCGCAGCCACAAGCAGAAGATCCTGTGGATTTCGCGCAGGCGCAGGGCACATTCTGGAAGAAGTGGAAGCCCAACGGAGAGGAGCACACCGCGGCGTTGGGCAAGCTCACGCAGGCCAAGGCATCAATCTTGGCTTCGAAGTCGTTGGACCAGCAGCCAACGCCAGAAGTATGTACCGCAAACATCGGAACTCAAGCAGGTCGTTGAAGTCATCGTGGACGCCAGCGATAGGCACTCCCAGCTCGTCACGGAGGCCACAAACACGCAGCAGGAGATCCAGAACCTCAGGAGCCAGAACAATATGGCCAAGCAGGCCGCCATGCAGGCGGCCACCAAGGACGAGGACAAATTATCGACCTTGTAGGGGGTTCTCGCGGCGCGCGCGCCGCCCGGCAGCAGGGCGCCGCCCGACCTCTGCTCGAAGGTGGCCGAGCTCGCGACCGATTTCGACGACCCCACGACTCGGCACGCGCAGTCCCAAGAAGCTGCGCCGAGGCCGCGGGTGGACAACGGCTTCCCGAGCGTCCGCGAGGCTCCCGAGGGAGAGCCCGCGGCCGCAGGCGGCGCCGCCAGCGGCGACGCGCCGCAAACGCAGCCCACCGGCGCCGCCGCGGCGGCGGGCGCGGCGGCCACAGGCGAGGACGCGCCGCGCCCGACCGACGCGGAGCTCGACACGGGAGCAGACGAGATGGACCAGACCAAGTCCTTGGCGCGCGCGGCGTCGGCCCTCCAGGCCGTCGCCAGCGGCGCGGCCGAGATCCCGGGCCAGGGGGGCCCCGAGGCCAAGCGGGCCAAGACGGCGGCAGCAGCAGCAGCAGCGGCCGCAGCAACGGGGACAGCTGGGGCATCAGGGACCTCACCACCGTCTTCACCGCCGTCTCTTTGTCAACGTCTACACGTTCATCGCTATCAACGGATCGCGCCGGGGGGCAGTGAAAGGCTTAGGAGAGCCCAGCACTGCACGCAGTTTAACTTTCATCTGCGCTCAGGAGTGCAGGCTTGAAGCAGGGGGCAGTATCACTCTTCAGATACAATGGTGCTTCGCACGAGGCCGGCTTGCCCACATTTCGCCTGCCGTCCGCAACCCCTCGGGTGAGCTTGCCTCAGGGGCGGCGGTTTTAGTTCGGGATGGCTTGGACCTTGGGGTTCAGCCGCTGCAATTTCCTCTAGGGACTGACAGCTCCAGACTGGCTGGAGTTGTCGTCGAAGCGCCAGGGGCCCCAGCTTCCGGTCTGGTGAGCGCTTATTTTCAGGCATCCCCGGGTTTCAATGAGACCAATTTAAATCTGCTGGCCGCCATCGGCCAGACCCAAGATCTAACAGGCAAGTCTTCATGGTTGCAGGTGATTTCAAGTTGCAGCCAGAGAGGATTCAGCAGGGCACGGATTTCCTCGCGCGTGCCACGACGAGGGCAGCGGCGCCCAAAGCCGCCACTTACCGCACGAAGAAGACGAAGTCGACCCTCGTTCTCTATCCACGGCCAGGCCTTGGGGCCCTGGCTGGAACCCCCCTGCACCTTGACCTCCTACCCCTTGCCCCCCCCCCCCGCCGCCCCGCTACCTTTGCCATGCGCGTGCAGGACAATTTCGAGATACCGACGCTCCCCAGGCCCCAGAAGCTCCCCACTAGGACGCCCATTAGACCTCAGTTCCTGTCGGTCAGTTGGCATCAGACAGCTGCAGCGATAGAGCATGCCAACCAACTTCTCGGACATGCCTCGCAGCCCCTCATCGACCAGCAGCGCTCCACCATGCTGGACTACGCGCACGTCGCCCTCGTCCAGGACCTTGAGCACACACACACACACACACACACACACTCAGTGCGAAAACGGACCCCCCCCCCCACCCCTCAGACCCAGCAAGACTCAGCCCCCCCCCCCCCTCCCAGATCCACATGGCCTCGGCGAGCGCGAAGTATTCCCAGGGGCGCATGTGCTGGGCGGCCTACTCCAGGCCTCTCCGTTGGCTCCAAAATCGGCTGCAAGATGTTCGACCCGGCGTCCAGGATGAGGACCCCCAGGATTTTCGGAACACCCTGGACAGTCTGGAAGACAGCCCTGCAAGTTTTAACACCTCTCCTGCCCTTGCCCAAGGGCTGCAGGGAGTTCGCGTGCCCGCAGGACTGTTGCATGAGGATTTACAAGCGCAGAGGCTAAACACAGAGTTGGGCATCACGATTTTAGATGAGCTGCCCGAGCAAGTCGGCAAGGTCATCGATGCTGAACTTGCCACCGAGCGCAGCAAGGACGGGCAGGGGCGGAGGGATTGGGTCAGTCTTCCGTGAAAGGATGCACGGGATGGGCGCACAGGTGGACGAGGAAGCTCGAAGCTTGGAAGCCTCTTCCGATTGTGCATCGCCAGCGGGTCTCTGGACGCCCGCAGCACATCTTCCAGGTCGAGGCCGACCGACTCGCCAAGATTTGGGATGTTCACATTGAGGCCCAATCGGTTCCCCAGACCGACGACAGGGTGGCCCGTGGACCCATCACCCCAGCTCGCCTTCGAAAGGTATCCAGAAGCTGTCCACACAGTGCGGCCTCAACTTAAGACGGAGCGCACCCGCGCCACATCGCCATGCTCGATAACGAGCAAGCCGAGCTAGTATGTAAGATGATTGAGCTTATCGCGCAGATTGGGCACATGCCATCGCAGCTGCAGGGTGCTATATATATATATATAAAACACGCGCATGCTCAAATTAAAGCAACATGATGATATGAATGCCGAGCCCGCCTTGCGGTCGATTGGCACGCCCCCTGTTCTTCATCGCGCCTGGGCCCGACTGCGGAGATCAGCAGCCCGAGAGTGGGAATGTCAACACAGACGACAATAGATTGCACATCAGGCAGGGCATTCAATAGTGGAACCTGTATACGCACAGCCACTTGAGTGCGAATATCACGCGTGCCAGGAGGAACCCCAACAATCCGCTCAAGCGTTATGGGACCTCTCTAACTATTACGAGCATATGGATCGCGAGTGTCTTGCCCAGCGCGCTGTCGCCTTTGGTTTCCCGTGCTGCCTGCGCCGCGCCATTCTATCTCAATATGGAAGTACCCGCTTCGCTGCTATTCAGGATGCGTGCCACTGCCGGCAAGGCGTGGAAGGGTTTCGATTGCAGGGCGCGGGTGGGCGGCGCAAATGTACGTTCCCGCTCCCCTCGCCCAGTGGACAGCCACACGCAGCTACATTCGCCTCGTGATGTTTATCGACGATTTATTGCTGCTATGAGGTCGTGATCAGTCAAGTGAATTTGGCTGCTCGGTCGCTAGCCAGATGCATCAAGCACGAGCTTGGGTGCCATATCGCTACCAAGAAGAGCCAGGGTTTAGCTTCCAGCTAGGACCTCCAAAACAAGCTTCGGAAGCCCTCGGGGCGCTCGCTGGGCCCTCTACGGGCACCCCTGGACCCAACCTCGGCATGGAAAGCGGGGCTGGACGGCCCCAAAGGCGCCGGCGAAAAGGACGAAAGCTCGTGGTGCGCATCAACAAGATCAAGAAACGCATGGCCCGTATCAAAATGATTAAACATGCTCGAGGACACGGTAAGAAGTTGCACAATACTGGCCTCGCAGCGGCCACCACGTTCGGAGTTGAGGCCACGGGCATTAACAACACGATGCTCGCGCAGGCCCAAACTCAATATTTAGCTGCGGCAGGTCCTAGGTGCGCCTCGAGGGGCCGTACTTTCTCGCTCCTCATCATCCAGGACCCCCTGTGGAAAGCGGGCCTCGGGCCCGCGCTTATGTGACGCCGTCTTGTCTGGGAGGCGAAGACCCGCCCCGATGCGGCCGTGGCCAGCCTCCAACAGATCAGCCTCTGGGGAGAGGCGGTTTTGCCCAGAGTTTCCAAAACTTGGGGCCCCTTGTAGGGGCCCTCTCAGCGCGGCGGCCCTCTCGTTGGCCAGGGTGGGGCCGTCGTTGCAGGGCCCTGCTCCGTTTTGTGACTCCCACAGGCCTCGTGTATCCCCGCCCAGGAACTTCCCCAGCCTACATTGTCAAGCAGCATGAGGTTGCCTGGCACTACAAGTTAGCAGTACAGGCTGCCACCACAATGGGACATCATGGCGAGCAGCTCGATGCTTCAGCCCTCCGCACCGCCCTCAGCTCAGTCGAGCTGACCAAGCAGCAGCGCGGCACGCTGCTGCCCTGTGTCACCCAGGGCATCTGGACCATGGAGCGCGCACTTTCAGCTGGATATGACGCGCCGCCCCAAGGTTGCCCATGTGGGCACCACAAAGATGACCTCCAACATCGCCTCCTCGAGTGCCTCAAGACTGCCCAGGCCAGAGAAATATCACAAGTGGAGAGCCTCGTAGGTTGAAAGACCCGATCCCTAACACCTCCCAGCTCCACCTTGGGTTGCAGTTTACGCCCAATGTTGTAGGCAACCCTCCCCCTGGCACTGGCCTGGAGGCCGCTAAATTTGGGCGCCGAGACCTTAATGTAAGCCCTGAGGAAGCGTTCAAAAGTGATGTCTACATTGATGGCAATTGCACGTGCCACGGCCACTATAACTTCAATGCTGCTGGGTTTGCCGTATTGCGCATGGTGGATGGAGAGGAGCTTGCAACCTTTTTATGGTCGCGCGGGGGCCCTGGGGACCAAAACCTCGGGGGCCGCCGAGCACCTCGCCGCGGTGGCGGCAGGCGGCTCTCGCCTCATGTTGACAAGATGTACTCGGATCATAAAGGGGTGTTGCAGTTGCACGGCGAGGGGCTGCAAAGCACCCGCGGGCGGAGGCGATTTTGACTTCGGCCCCAAACCCCAGAAGTAAAGGCTCACCAAAATCTGGAGTTCCCCCCCCCCGATCGCGACGAATTCCGTTTAGCTAACGGCAGCGATGCCGCAGATAGGATTGCCAAGGCCGCCGCGATCCTCGGCAGTCAACCTAGTCTCGACGAAGTAGAGCAGCGTCAGAAAGACACTGCTCTGCTGAACAAATACCTTCGGTCTGCGTCCAAAGCCTTTGGAGAGTGGCCCGCTATAGCCCCTCGTCGCAACCAGGCGCTGGCCAAGCCCGTGAAGGGCCTCTCCCCTCCCTCGGGGGCTGCCTCGGCCTTGGCCTCCTGGGACCCAGGGGCCCCGCCCCCCGCCCCTCCCCCCTCCCCTCCTGCGGCCCTTCGCGAGACTCCGAGGGCCCACGTCTGGGCGATAGTGAATGGGCAGCGCCGGTGCACGATTTGCCGCATCCGCGCCCGCACGTTCAAAGCATATGAGGAGCGACGCAGTGCGATGGATTGCCCTGGACACTGCCCCAACCCCAGGGGGCATAATTTGTTCTATTACGAACACCTCGAACAGCCAACAAGTGTTCTGGCGCGC